ATGAAGTCTTTGACGGTGCCTCGATTGGAGCTTCAGGCAGCCGTGCTGGGTACGCGTTTAATGAGCTGCGTCCGGGAGGAACACTCCTTGGACATTGATGACTGCATCATTTGCAGTGACTCCAAAACGGTAATCCAGTGGCTTCGCAGCGAACATCGGCGCTATAAGCCATTTGTGCAGCATCGGATCGCCGAGATATTAGCCGCAACTACTACCGCAAATTGGAGATGGCTACCTACCGAGGACAATGTCGCCGATGAGGCCACTCGAGCTAATAACTTTATCGACTTCAGCTCATCTGCACGTTGGACCTGCGGCCCACCATTTTTGTTACGAGAAGAGCAGGCTTGGCCGTCAGAGGGTTTCACATGCAATCATCATGAGGAAGCGGACAAGGAACTTCGCCCTAAATTTGCCCTTGCGATCGTAAGTTGTACATTTTTAGATTATAACCGATTCTCTTCATTCAGCAAACTGGTGAGGACGACAGCATGGGTCCTGAGATTCATTGAAATTTGCCGCCGTCGTAATCCACCAGAACGATGCTATGGGCTGACAGCCAAAGAAGTCGAGACTGCTAAGCTTTGTTTGTGCCGTCTTGTTCAGCGTGGTGAATACGCCGAGGAGTTTCAGCAGATCGAAAGCGGCCAGGACCTACCACGCACCAGTTCGCTTATTCAACTTTCGCCTTATATTGATGAAGACGGTGTTCTTCGTGTACGAGGACGCATAGATGCTGCCAGCTGGCTCCCAATATACTCGAGGCGCCCAATCATACTGCCGCCAAAGCATGATTTTACAACTCTGGTCACCATGCACTACCACATCAAAATGCATCATCAAAATCTAGAAGCCACTATTTGCGAGATACGTCGCTGTTACTGGGTACCACGCCTCAGAAGTTTGCTGCGCAGTGTAGTCGCCAAATGCGCCGTATGCCGCCTAAAGAAAATCCACGCCGTGCCACCATTGATGGGTCCGCTTCCGATTGATAGGCTAACTCCCCATATCAGGCCGTTCAGCTATACGGGCCTTGATTACTTTGGACCGATAACAGTAACTGTTCGTCGCGCCAACGAAAAAAGATGGGTGGCGTTATTCACGTGCCTGACCGTCAGGGCTGTGCATTTGGAGTTGGCCCATGACCTCAGCACTGACTCATGTATAGTCGCAATGCGGAACTTTATAAACCGCCGCGGCGTTCCCGTACGCATCAGGTCCGATAATGGGAAGAACTTCGTCGGTGCTGACATGGAAGCAAAGCGCTTCAGTGAAGTATTCCATTGCGATCGCTTGCAGAGTGAGCTGTCGCAAAGGGGCGTAGAGTGGATTTTTAACTCGCCTTTCAACCCGGCAGAGGGGGGCGCTTGGGAACGGTTGGTGCAGTGCGTCAAGAGGGTACTACGACACACGTTGAAGGAAAGGTCGCCACGGGAGCACACGCTCAACTGTTTCCTCATCGAGGCGGAAAATATAGTGAATTCTCGGCCGCTGACGCACTTGCCCATCGATGCCAACCAGGAGCAGCCGCTGACTCCTAATGACTTCCTTCTGGGTGAAGCCAACACACCGCAAACTCCGATTGCCAACGAAGTTCTGGAGAAGACGTGCCTTCTGCGACAACAGTGGCGTCTTGCCCGGCAACTAAGGGACCATTTTTGGAAGCGATGGATAGCGGAGTACCTTCCCACATTGACACGCCGGGTTAAGTGGTGCCAGAGAACAAAACCTCTGCAGATAGATGACCTCGTCTTCATATGCGATCCCAATGTATCTCGCCGGGACTGGTGCCGAGGTAAGGTGGAACGCTTGTATACGGGAGAAGATGGTGTGGTCAGACAAGTGGACGTACGCACTTCCGGTGGATTGAAGCGACGCGCCGTCTCCAAATTGGCTGTTCTGGACGTCGAAGGTAGTGAATCGGGCTGATTCACGAGGGTGGGGATGTTGGGAACTCCTGCCTTTGACATAATTTCAATTTCATGCATTTCAATTTCATGTACTTAATTTTTGTATTTTATTTTTAATGTATTCCATTTCGATGTTCTCATTTATTTTCAAATACCTTTCATACATACATATGTTACTCTCATTATTTTGAGATACATATGTACACATATGTGTTACTAGTGCCCTATGTATCCCATGTATTTAATTTGCCGCTAACTCTTTGCATGCACGTATGTACATATGTACATGTCCGCGGAATAGGTACGGTCAATGCAGTATTGCCTTTTTCGTTTTGTTTTTCTGTTCGTATGCATATGTACATGCATGTAGGCAAAGCATTGGAGTTGTTTGTCGCGGAGTTGTGCCTTGTAAATATGTATGTACAAATTAATGTTAGGTTTTTT